TTCTCTATTCTCTCTCTCTCTCCTTTGCTCTCTCCTCTCTCTCTCTCTCTCTCCTTCCACCTTTCTCTCTCTCGCTCTCCCTCTCGCTCTCCCTCTCTCTCTCTCTCTCTCTCTCTCTCTTTTCTCTATCTCTATCTCTCTCTCTTGCTCTCTCTCTCTCTTCTCCCTCCCACCTCTCTCTCTGCTCTCTTCTTCTCTCTCTCTCTCCTCCCACCTAAAGTTCAAGCAGTTAATACTACAAAGGACTTGCAAGATCACGGATGTTACATCAAGTAAGATTCATGCAAAAACATTCATTGCTGATTGTATATCGTACATTGTTTGTAATAAAACATCGTGGTGCCCCACGTGTAGAATTGTCGGTTTAACCTGTATAAGAATCGGGATTAAACTTGTATAACAATGACGTGCATAACATTGTATTAACAATCATGGTAACATTGTATTAAGGACCGTTACACACCCGCCGTACACAAATTTCTAGAGAGGAAAACACGACTCGAGGAAAGAGTTATGCAACCGTAATCCAACCATAATCATTGCCCTCCGACACGCCGTCTCTAAATCCCCACTCCTTGATCCTCATCCGCATCCCCAAACATCCTTCTTCTTCTCCCTTGTTCTCCTCTCCGTCTGGCGCCGCCAACAAGAAACAGCAGAAACAAACAAACACAACAAACTTACAAATAACAACTACGATGGACGACGGATAGGCATCCGCCCCTCCGTTACAAGACAGAACTTACGTGATGTAATAAAACTCTGCGGGTCAGCAAGGAGCTAACACGACTCTCGATGTGGGCATAAAACGCCGAGGGTTCGCACCGCACAGGGCGCAAAGAACTTCGTGCACGTCACAGAGTCAGGATGCCGGTGCTTGCCACGAGATTGGGTTTGTCCAAAATAACGTGTTTGTCCAGATCGTTTGCAGCCGAGCTCCTTATGTGCACCGACGCCGCATGCGTGTACATACACGCGGGCGTGTACCTGCCTTGCGTACAATAAGGTGCACGTGAGTGTATCTGGCCGTGCCCACAGATGCACATTTGACCGCATGTTCTCCCATGCCTATCACCTCGTGATCGGTGTATGTGCGAGCATTACGTGTGTTGTGCGAGCATACGTGTGTACCCCGTGCGCGCAGTGTGTATGGGTGCGGTACGAGTGTATGTGCACGCACGCGTGTATGTGCACCCAACGTGTGTACGTGCGCGCATTTTGGTGTACGCGCACGCAATGCGTGTACGTGGCACGCACCGCGTGTATGGCACGACGCGTGTATGCGCACGGCATACGTGCACACGCGACGCATGCACGCACGCACACACGCACTCACGTGTACGTACACACGCACTCACGTGTACGTACACACGCACGCACGTGTACGTAGGCATACACACGCACTCACGTGTACGTACACACGCACGCACGTGTACGTAGGCATACACACGCACGTACGCTAGTGTACTCATGCACGCACGCACGCACGCACGTGTACGTGTCGCTGCTTTCATCGAGTGTTGAACGTAATCATACAAACGAAAATGAGGACAACTATCACATCTCCCCAGCACTGTTTCTGCTAGACGCGCCCCTCAAAAACCAGCAGCTACGATGGCGTAGTGGGTTTACACTGGAATTCATCAACATTTGCTTACGCTGGTGCTACGCTGCGTTGATGAATCGCACCTACGAGCCTTGCGTACGTACTTCGTAGAAACTTTGCGTACGCAACAGACTTTAGACGCAGAACATCGAATTAAAATATAAACATTTTCGCTGCCGTTGGGCGGGGCTAGTCACTAATGTCGCACATAAAAGTTAGTGTATGCCTCCATACTAAACATAGATAATAATTATTGCCCAGGGGGGAATTATATCCATGTGCTAACCGAAGTGTGTTCAAGTCCGCAGTTAACTCCTCTTGCCTTGAGGAGAGGGCCACATACGAATAATATCGTTATTCTATGACGACATGCGGTATTCTTTCCGAGAAGCTGACCGTGGGTATAGGAAATATCAATGATATGTAGATAAAAAGCAAATTCGCACGACGAGGAGAAATCATTTACCTCGCAAGCAACGTGTAAAGCAATCGTACGACTATATAAGAAATAAATTAAGATAGTAAAATAGACCAGATATAAATATGTTAATTGACACCGACAATAAGATAAAAAGGCAAACTTCAACAATATACAATATCACAATATATAATATTTATGTTTAATTTATTCATAAAACAGCATATAAAAAAATCAAATATTATAATAACAATAGAAATCGAATTCCGAAGCCGAATAGCGGCGGCAGAGAGATGGCGGCGCTGAGGATCCAGACGCCGGCGATGACGACGACGGACGTGCGCATCGTGCACCCGTGCGGATATTGCAGCGCTCTGCTGATCGCCAAGTACCTGCGGAGGAGAGGAAACGGTTCGTGGGAGAGATTCACGATTAGGTGCGGAGCTTGGACATCGACGTCATCAGCGTTCGTTGGCATTCATTAATTTAAGCAAAAACAACAACAAGAACAACAACAACAACAACAACACCGAAACGAGTAACAAACGGGAGATTGCGGATTTGATCGAAGAAAAAAAACAGCGTCGAGTTCTTTATTTGTTGCACGTACTACGTACAGTATCAGGAGTGAATAAAAACAAGTTGGTTTTGTTAGTGAGTCTAATCAATGAGTGTAGTTACTACAACATATACGACCCACCTCTGATACGTACCAGATACTATACATGCATGCTGCAATATAATTTCTATCGCCATTAACCCCCATATATATAACCTAGCGACACGATCATTATCATCATCGTTATCATTATCATTATCATTATCATTATCATTATCATTATCATTATCATTATCATTATCATTATCATCATTCGCTATTACTATCACGATCACTATTACGCTTACGATCACGATCACTATCACTATCACTATCACCATCACCATCACCATCACCATCACTATCATTATCAGATTAAAGAATTACATTTCATTATCATTATCATTATCATTATCATTATCATTATCATTATCATTATCAATATTATTATCATTATCACTGTCACTATATCACTATCATTATCCATTATCATTATCACTATCACCATCACCATCGCCATCACCATCACCTTCACCATCATTATCATCATCAATACCATCGTCACTATAATATCACATTACGAGCAGACTACACAAATCATATGTTCCCGTGGTCGCACGCGTACCTATAGATACTGATGACGACAACACTCCACGACGAAGCCGCGCAGCAGAGAGCGTTCAGCACGCTCCACGCAAGACAGTAGTGCGGTCCGAGCAGGCGATCTCCGAGAGCGCGACCGGCGGCCGGCAGCGGCAGCGGCAGCACGAGGGCGGCGATGAGCAGGTCGGCAAGCGCTAGCGACACGATGTAGGCGCTGGCGGCGACGCGCAGCGACGGCTCGACGTAGACGGTCAGCAGGACGACGCAGTTGCTGACGACCGACAGCAGAATGACGCAGACGACGAGCGCGCCGACCAACGCCGCCAGCGCGACGTCGCCGGACGTCGCCAGCGCGGCGACGTCGTCCGTGCTTCCGTTGCCAAGGGAACGATTCCCGGTGGCCATGGATTCTCGCAAGATGGGTTTGATGGGTTGTGTGAGTGGCGGCTTGCACCAGTGCGGCAAGACTCGGTTCTTGTATTCTCACGGATGCGCGCCGACGGTGTGTATATATATATATATACGGTGCGTGTTGCCGGTAGAGGTGCGCATCTTCGTGCGCATGCGCGTGGGCGCCTACCGATCAGTGAACGCTATATTTGGGTTGTCTGTGGGCAATGCGCGCGAAAATGGCACTTTATTACCACCTGTGTGCGCAGTAATTATATCCGATAGCATCATTATTAAGCACCACCATATTATATTATTTATAGATATTTATTTATATGGTATCATGCAAGTGTGACAGGCCCGTAGGCAGGTTTTTTTTACGGGAGTGTGCGATTCAACGAGTATATACGGACCTAACGAGCGCCGGAGGCGGCAGTCTCTATAGTGGGGAAGGGGGTCCGGGAGCATGCCCGTACGAAAAATTTTGAAAATTAAGTTGTCTGAGACTGCATTTCGCGTGTTTTAAAGGCAGTATGATATCGCATGATGAGTATGATGAGGCAGAACCACTGCTATCGCCCTGTGCTACTCTGCGGCTGAGTATGCGTGCCCTGTATGGAGTAGGTCGCCCCATGCTGCAAAAATTGACCCAGTTCTTAACATTGCCTGCAGAGCCATTTCTGGATGCTTGAGACCAACCAACGTAGATGACCTCTACCTGCTCTGTGGCATCGCTCCCCCCCACGTTAGACGAATGGCTTCATCCCAAGTAGAGAAACTTAACCAAGAAAATGACCCTCGCCACCCCCTCTTCCAGCATGAAAAAGTAAAGAAGAGACTAAAGTCCAGGCACAGTTTCATCCACGCGGTTCAACCCCTGGATGGCAACCTCCAAAACTACAGGATCGCCCAATGGTCAAAGCATTATCAGGCAAGCCAACATAAGCTTTCACTCAGACCCCAGGAATCCCTCCCGCCCGGAGCCAACGAGGTATGGCCGACGTGGTTGTGCCTAAATCGCCTCAGGACAGGTTTTGATCGATGTAGGGCACTCATGCAAAAATGGGGATACACTGAAGATGGTCCAATCGAATGCGACTGCGGGGAGGACCAGACTATGGGACATCTCCTGAAATGCCCCTTATTGCCAGAGCCATGTAGCCCTGGAGACCTTGAGGCTTTCAACCACCGTGCCAAGTCCTGTGTGCTGCAGTGGCTGGGCCAAGTGTAGTGTAGTGACCCGAGAAGAAGAAGAAGTATGATATGAAAACAGGCAGCCAAAAACGAACCTCAAAACGTGGACATTTCTCAAATTTTTGAACTTCAAGATGAATTTTTTGGCAAACAGACTACTTTATGTAACATGTATTTTACAATTTTAGAGAATAACAATGTCAATGTCACTATTTAAAAAGAAATTTTTATTAATTCACTTTCTTTTAAATCGTTGGTCCACCAAAAAGTGGACCTCCGCAGCCTGTACGCGTGGGGGAGTGGGTGCGGGCGTACCCGTCGCACCACTCTTCCCTACGGGACATATTATAATTAACATGAATAGGTATAAACATATAACATCTATATATAATTTTTATATACTTAATTAAATATCGTATTATAACTATCGTAATTATACGAGTATACATCTACTACCCGTGATAGCGAAATATTTATATGGATATTCTATATCATATACAGGGCCGTAGGCTGAGCAAATTCCTAGGCGAGGGCAGTGGCGGATCCAGGATTTCAAAGAGGGAGTGAGAAACAGGTAGAGGTCTGGGGCGGGTTCTCCCACAAAAGATTTTGAAAATGTGGATCGCAGGAGATGGTATTTGAGGCACTTTTGAGTACATGTACGTGCAGCCTAATTCTACTGACTATACGACAGTTCTCTTTTAGTAGAACAATTTATTTTTTAAATTTTGCTCCAAAATCTAGGGGGGGCAGGCAGCTGGCAACTGCCCCCTTGGCCCCCCGCAGCTAGGCTTGGTCGCAATTTTATGAAACAGATAACGCACTTGGCCTGTTGTGCGATCAATGTAAATGCAGCGCGGCGCTCGGTATCTTTAGACTGGTGCGCACGGCGCACCAGTCTAAAGATACCTCGCGGCCACTCGCGCCGCGCTGCATTTACACTGATGCACGCTGGGCCGTGCGTTATCTGTTTTATAAAATTGCGACACACAAAATTAATTGAAAATAAATAGTATAGTCTAGATCACGAAAATTTATTTCAATTCCGAACGTCAAAACAAACACATTTACAGTTTAGTAAATTGCTTCACACACAATTAACAGTATGTCTAGATAAACAGTCTAGATAAATAGTCTAGAAAATAAATAGTGAAGGCTAGATCTCGAAAATTTATTCCAGTCCCGAAAGTCAAAAACAAACACATTTACAGTTGATTAAAGGGATAGTAGACTCTAGGATTTTACTGCATACAACTGTACTTACTGTATAACAAATCGTCTATACCCACACGTTCAATTTTGTTATACCAGATACTAATGTAATTGGTTATAGATAAATTACACATCACGCTCACGAAATTTGAGACGCGCCATGAGCACCGCGGACCTGTGACTGCCACCCCGAAAAGAAGAGCTTGTCCGTAATTTTGACATTTATTCCTTGGCACGTCTACAGCACGAGCTGCTCTAAATCAACAGAAATGTGCAATCTATTTATTTATACCTAAATGCTATTTAACCGAACGATATTCATTTTAGGGCAAATTTATCCATATTATAACTGAAACTATATGTCGTTTATAAGATATTACAATCTTTTTGCTTTTAAATGAATAAATAAGAAACACCCTCGGTCTGTATATAGCTCTTGGCTGAAAAGTGGTTTTGCGCAACTTATCAGATCGTGCGCATTGACTGGCGCCACCGTCGTTGTAATCAAACTGTAGTCGTTAGTTTTAAAACATTTTTTAATCATATTTCTAATGGCGATTGAACCATGAAACTTTTTATGTAGTGTAATTTTAACCTAAATTAACTAAAAATAACCCTAGAACCTAGAGTAAACGATCCCTTTAAATTGCGACACACACTATAACAATTTAACAGTAAGTCTAGATAAACAGTCTAAATAAATAGTCTAGAAAATCAATAGTAAATTAATCTACATCTCGAAAATTTCAGTTTGATGCTTAATTATTGTAAATGTTAACATAATCGCGAGCGTACGTGCAATATAACTTTTTTTGCGCGCCTTTTTACACGGTTTGGCGTACGTGCATTATAACAACAACAACGGCGTGTCACGTAACGCGTTTTGATCACTGATCTCTATAATATAATTATATTATAGAGATCAGTGGTTAATTGATCAATCATGATGCATAAAATATCCGAGCCATTTTATAAATAATTCTATAATAATAGAATTCTAATAGAAATTCTATAGAATTCTAGATAGAATTCTAATAGAAATAGATCATGGATAAAAACTGTTTGATTTACTTTATATACTTGTACAAAAACACAGAGAAGTGTTTAGCTTGAGTTTAGTACTGTTAATTTTGGTGCCAACATTTGAGCTTATAATATATGATTGTTTAGTTTATTAGTTGTCTTTCTGTTCAACGTACGGATACACGGCAGCCGATTTCATGCGGTAACATGCGCTTTACTAAATTTTCCCGCGCGTTTAGTCAGCACCCCCCCCCCCCAACTATAAATAAACATGTCTGCCGCCACAGTTTAACAATCTTGCCCTTAGTCAGTTACGGTAAAAGGTTACAATCTACAGGTAAGCTTACGGTTTAGTGTTTAATGCGGTTACAGTGCTCTGTAGGAGTATCAAAGCAGTATAAATTATAATTACAACGGCTAAATGATAATGATACCTAACCCTATAACTAACTGAAATCTGTCCGACGAGTACCGAGACAGTACGTCGTACGACTGTACGTATCAGTCAGACGCAGTGGCGCACGAAGGGTCGTTGTCTTATCAGCCTCAGGTACTACATATGATATGATATATCATTTATATGTACCCGAGGTAGTTTTAGGTTGTTTAGTATTATGTATATATTTTTATATGAGGTATGTTTAGGGTTAGGGTTAGGGTTAGCTCTAGTACTATAGTCTATAGCCCGCGTTCGATAAACTGCCGCAGGGGTCGGCAGCTGATTGAAAACACTAATAAGTTTTGTTCCATTTTTTCTCAAACTCTGGCAGACGGCGGAAAGTCAACGCGGACCCGGCAAACGGATCGGATGACGAGCAACAGGTTGCCACGGACGCCGGCGGTCAGCCGAGAGCAGGACGCGCGGCCGCCGACCCTGCAATTTTACGGGCGCTCCCCGCTGGCGAGCCGGAGCGCAGCGCGGGCGGACGTCTACAACATCGAAATTAGCGACGACGACGACGACGACGACGACATTCAGGTGATTGACCTTTGTCACGTGATAACATATGTATGTACTATTTCAGCCAATAGGTGGAGATGGCACTTAATTTAATAAATGGAGCTGTGGTCATTCTGTTCTAGTATATTCAGAGGTCGAAATTAGCGGTATCCCGATATCTGCGGGATAGTAGATTCTTGTGTTGGATACCAGATTTCAATGCTTGGTATCCCGCCGGGATAGTAAAAAAAAATCGTCAAAATCGGGATAGTGATTGTTGAGCATATTTGCAAGCCTAAGCGTAGCCGATGTTGATTATAAATGTGTATACATTGTATCAAGCGAACCAGACAATGCGTCTAGACAATACTTAGAACTGCAGTTACTTGTCTGTGCATATGTGTGAATCTGTTTTCATGTTTAGCTCGTCTGACATAGTCAGACGCAGCTTGTAGAATCGCATGAGCGTGCGTCCGTGCGTCCGGCCGTCCGTCCAGCCGTCCGTCCGTCCGGCCGTCCGTCCA